AATGTCCATCATGTTTTTCTTTCTTTGTGCATTTTTTAATTTAGTTATTCAAGTTTTATAAGAACACGGTCTCTCATGATTGGCGTGGATCCTTCCTATGATACTCCTAACATGTTTGACAACTATGCTTTTGCTATTGTTGAAATCGTACGTGTCTTATCTTATGGTCAGATAGCACATCACATAGCCTATATTTCTGCATGTTATGTTAATTTTCCTCTATATTTCAGGTGCTGTTGTTTTTTAATGTAATCACTTTATTCTGCTAAAAAAAAAAAAAAAAAGAAAAGAAAAGAAAAAGGACTACAGAAGTATGTATAAGGTCTGTAGCCTCCTCCTATTTTTATTCATATCTGAGATATTTCATTTGTGGAAACCTCCCCTCATTTCAGCTGAGTTCTACCACAGAACTTTGGGCAAAAAGAAGAAAAGAAACTAGGCTTAGGCTGTATGTTCACACATATATGTGGCTGTGTGTGCCACAGCTGGCAAGCAATTAGTGCTTTTAGACTAGTTTGTTCAGGTTATGGGACAAATTGGTATGTGATAATATGATCCAAATTTATTTCTTCAGTATCAACACGGTATTGATGAGTTTTTCAGTTACAATAGGATTTTAAAAAAAATCTTAACTGCTACAACACACGTTCCTTTTATCTACTGCTCATCACTATACTGTGAGATTCTTCAATGTTCATGACACAAAGGCTCGTCTCTCCCTCAGAATTCATTTTAGATGAAGCCATTAGATCTCACAGTTGCAGTTTAATGTAGGGATTTTAGGTCATCTCAGAACTTACCCTTTTCCAAGAACAGTTTTAATCTTTGTATAGTACTTGAATATACTACTTATAATTGTGTTTCAAGTGTTACTGCAGTTATATTTCAGATTTTACGTATGTAAGAAAATGCTATATTATTTTAATACTGATGGCAGAGTAAAAATCTATTCAATATTCACCTTTCAGGAAGAACAATCAAATATCCAAGAACACTATTAGACTTGCCTAGCATAAAGTTTCAAACGGCTAATGGATTTTAAATTGATGTCATAATACTGCAATTTAAATACATGATGTTCATTAATTTTGCCAGAACTCTTTGTAGAGTAGAAGTTGTACGAAAAAAGGAGGAAGGTTATATTTTCTATACCTGCTTCTTTTTATCTGCTTGCCCATTTTTGATACACAAGAAGAATCATTACATCAGCTTGGGGTGGGGGTGAAGTTTACTCAAATGACAATAGGTTTCAATGAGGTAATCACTGTGGAGTTGTGTCAAAGTAATATTTTCTCTGAAAAAATACCAGGAATAGGATAGAACTGACACACAATAGGTGTGACATTTCTTAAAGATGGATTTCATGGGACCTATCACCAATATTCCACAGGTACAAAGTGGAGGAAATAAGGGACAGAAAGTTCATCTTGCCCATATACCTCCTTTTCACTGAAAGGTCAAAATTCATGTACTCGAGCGAGAGCACAATATTGCAAAACAGGCAACCGTGGTCTCTCGCAAATCTCAGGGAGTGCCCTCAGATGTGGACACTGAAAAGGGAAAAGAGAGCACACTGTGGAGGACTACTAAGGGATCCTCTTCTCTTGAGGGGAGCGAGAGTGGGCACTGGATGCAAATTTTCTAGGTGAAGAATTGTCTGTTTCAGAAATATCTTGAAAGTCAAACTAAAATGTGTCTAGACATAATAGGCCAGTATAGTATAACACTTCACATCTATTTATATTTAAAATATAGTGTGTTTACTGTACATAAAGTCAGTTTTTCCAAAGCTGTTGCTATAGCTACAAATCAAGGAAACCATAGCAACAACCCTGTATTATGTACAGCCTTAATTACAGATTAAGTTATGTCTCTCTTCGCATTTCATATTAAATATTCCCATACAATCTAGTTATAGTAATCTTAAATTTTTTTCTTATTAAAAATTACTTTTTATTAATAAAAATTCCATAGTATTATACTGTCAAGTCAAATACACAACACTCTTGAAATATGTCTTTATAGCATTATTCTGATCATACTTAATAATATACACATCACTGTTTTTCACTTGAGATAAACACAGATGTTCATATCACCATATTTCCTGATCTTCTTTAATACAAGTCATTGATCACTTCAGCCTTAACCACCAAGTAATTGATTTTCCATCATCTCATAAGGTTTTCAAGTCTCATCCCACTCAGCCTTACGCCAAAAGAAATCAGTTCCTCCTAACTTCAACTTTTTTTCCTATGGATTAAATTCTTGGGGTTTTTTTTTTCCTTTTTTCTCAGAAGGTTAAGTGTGCAAGGCAGGGACAGGAAAGCTAGAGTAGTAGTTCATCTAGATTTTCTAGCTTCCCTGTCACGTTAGATGACTGACTGGTTGGTGGTAAATTACTCTACTCTGTTTTGTTGACCTTGCCTATGTACTATTTAAATACACTGAGAAGTTCAGATTAGAGCACCCTGGCATGCTGCATGCAGCAGGCCTCAGAGCATAGCCTGAGAGGAACAAGTAAAGGAGAACAGTGAACAAAAGTGAAAAAAAGGAGGAGAAGGATGTTGGAAGTGGATGAGGACAGGAGGGAGTTCTATCAGACAGCAGGAGACACATAGGACCCAGTGGGGTGACAGGCATCAAAGGACACTCTAGAAGATTACGAACACATCCAACAGGCGTGCAAAGATTCTCTCAACAAAAGAGAAAACAGAAAGCCAAAATTCATGTCTTTAAAATCCTTCTCTCTTATCTTCCCTTCTATCACATAATTTTCTGATAATTCATTATGGTATAGTTTCTTCACCTTTCGGTCTTTGCCCATTGATGAGATGGCATGTGTCCCATTTTGCAAAAAACTTGGCCACATTTCCCTAGGGCATTAGCTGCACTCACAGACTGGACCTTCTGCTTATCTTACATACCACAGCAGCATAAAAACTAGAAAAGAATATCTTAGTTCTATGAAATGAGAAGAAATTAAATTTATTTGGCACTTATACAGTAATGAGAGATCTGTGGTTTTAATCTCTATGAACAATTGAGAATTGCTGGCCGTTTTAATACAAATAGTATAAAAAAGTATATTTTATAAAGCAATCTTTGTTATAAAAATTGTAGTCTGAGAAAGCTATGAGCATGAGTTAAGAACATAAACTGTGTAAAAGCTTTTCACATGGGCAGCACAATAAAACTTCCCTTGCACAGGGAATAATTAAGTCAGAAGATAGTGCATTCACAATTAACAAGGCATGTTCAGTTTCTTCATTATCATTTTAATTAGCAAATATTAATGTAATCTGCAAATACAAGGGGGAAAACAATTAAAATTACTAAGTTTAAGGAGTCCTTCACGACCTAAGCTAAATTGAGACAAATGTCTTACTAATCGATACTGGTCACCAGCTTTCAGGACATTCATTTCCATTTACTGTAAGAACTTCCAAGCGTGTTATCACATTTAAGAATGAATTAAGGCTCCCACAAGCTACATCTAACCTCTGATGAAGGCAATGATGAATAAAAATGGATTAGCATGCTCCTCTCCTCTCAAGTTATCAGTTCAGACTGATAGTGATCAAGTGACCATGGCAGCTCTACCTCATTCAGATTCCACGTCTGCCACTGTGGCAATAACCCAGGGACATATGGAACACAACGCCCTCTCATTTTTGGTGGGTTCCTGGTCCTTTTGTATTTCAGATATGCCGGATGGAGCCTTAGCCCTTTCAAACTCAACAGCAGCTCTCATTGCTTCCATTCATTTCACACACCCCGACTCAAACAGATTTCCTTTTGGGTGCTTGTCATTTTTCTGCTCTGTAGACAATGTACTTTGGCCTCCAAGATATACACAGTGCTGCATCTTATATGGACAACAGTTAAAAGCTACAGAAGGTTAAAAGAAGCTGTCTCCTAAAAACTATAACCCTCTATCATTCTGATTTTCATATTTAACACTCTAAAAGTAAAATAATAACCAACTTGTCTAATACACTTATAGGACTGAACATCATGAAGTGGTGAAGTATTTTCATTCTCTATAAAAGCCATTATGTGAATGAATTTTATTCATCAATATAATAATTTCAATTTTATAAAGAAAAATAAGCAGCAGTAAGTGGAAGTCTGATAGTATCTCTCATGACTGACAGTGCTATAACTGATCAGAAACAACTTTTAGAAAGAGTGAAATTTTTTATGTTAGCTTACTTTGCAAGTTTGCGTCTGTTATAAATAGTACACAGAGAGAAAGAAAGAGAAGAGTTGTCTGGGGAAAAAGCACCACTACCACCAAAACCCAACAATGTCATTAGATATTTTGCCACCTAAGACAGCGTAAAGCAGGAGTCCCTGTAAAATCTAATTTTATCACAGAAGTATTTTTATCGCACAGCAAGTATTTTGCAAAGCAGATACAGGCCAAAGCATCTTAAAATACAGACTGGAAATACATACCTGGCTTTCAAATAGCTACCAAGTGTTAATGTAATAGTTTCAGAAAAATCCAGTAAGCCTCTAGGCTTTATAAATTTTCTACACTCATATATGTTCATTTCACAAATCATTCCCTTTTCTTCTTCCATTCACATACAAACAAAAATAAACTACTTCTTTCTTCGGTATCCCAGGCAAAATTAAACATTTTTAGGGCTTTATTACAAACACATCCAAGAAAATTTCCTTATGACTTAAAGGGACTGAAGGCTTGAAATTAATCAAAAAAATTTTCCTGCTTGTATAAATACCAGTTTTCACTGCAACCAAGCATGATTTTGAGGCCAGCTCACTGCTCTCTCCACCACATACATGACAGAAATTAAAAACATACAATGGTCATTTAAATGGTAGCACACTTTTATAATAGATACTTTGCTCAGAAACATTGCTTGCTTTAGTTTTAACACTGGGAAGGTGGGTAGAAAAGCAGTTATAAGGGATCAGAGAAAGAGAAGCGTACTGGTCTGTTTTGCTGTGCTCTTGATACCAGGTCTTACCTCTTGTGTTTTCACATTTATATATCCATAATGAGCTCTCAGAGGCTGCCTTTGGCCATTAGAAAATGGTATCCATTTGACACTGGTTTGTCCAAAGCAGTTGAGGATCAAAGGGAAAGTTACTTCATTTGTGAGACGAACGATGATCAGGCAGAGGAATGCTGCAATGAAACTCACAGCAACAATGGACTTTCTCTGTAATGAAAAAAGAAAGACAATCAATTATTAAAATTAAGAATTAGTTTTCATTTTAAAAATGCATATCTTCTACTGTAGGATGAATGAAAAACACTTTAGAAAGCTTTACGTGAAATTATTTTTATGGTAGTCACCTTGCTGCAGGAGCATAATGAGACAGGTGACTGGATTATTTTGTTTCAGTAAATTTGCATTTCAGAGGTTTTGAGAATTTCTTTTAGAACTGGTTGGAAATGAATCAGTTTTGCTCAAAAAAAAAAATAGGGTTTTTTTGATGTTTCAAAAAACATCTATTAGTTTTAAATTTTATTTGTATTTGGAATGAAGATTTTATGTAAACTTCCACACCAAAGTCTCCATTCAAAATCATCAGTGCTCTAGACACATGACAAATACACAAAGGGAAAATGCCATCTGCAGCCATTCCACTCAAAGTTCGTGAAGATAATCGCTAGAGATTGCATTTATTGTGCACTAATTTTAAATCATTCCCGTGCAACAGAACTCATACTCTAACCTTAAATAATTTAGAATAAATGGTCAGTGAAGTCAGCACAACACTCTGCCTTATTCCAGGTTCATGAATTTACAAAGTGAGGCATTATTATCTCGGACGAGATGACCTCCATTGTTAATAATGTAACAGATCTGAAGCCTGTATCTAATTAGCCTTTGCTTTCCACCTCTAACCTATCCAGTTTGTTGGACTGGTGAATACAACTTTTCCCTGGGTAACTCCCCAGCCTACAGAAGAAAAATTTGTAAGAAATGTGATGTTCCCCTCATTTTTAGCTATTTTTTAAATACTGCAGTCAATTACTTCTAGACAAATTACTTAAGGACAAAACATGTTAGTTGGCATATTTAAAGATTCTAAGTATGATACTCTATCATAAATGTTATTTTTTAATTTTCCCCTGAGGGAATGGAACAATAATAATTTACAGGTGTTTTTACTGTATTTTAATTACATTCTAGCTTCACCTAATTTGCCACAGTTTAATCACCCTACTAAGTGTAATTCTATCCCTCTAAAGGGTAATATATACAGAACACAGAGCAGGAAAAAAAATTGCCTAAAGGCCTACATAAGTATACAACACTTAAAGCTGGACAACAGAATCTGATCACCCCACGATTCCTGTCTACAAATACCACCAACCAACAGGAACCATAAGAGTACATATTTAAGACCATTTTTGTACATGATGGCAACAAGATTGTGTTGCAATGGCGATGGAGGGGTAAAAGATGAGCTCTGGTTGCAACCATACAAGATGAATCTGTTCTTTGCCTGGAGGTTCATTTGACAATCTGCAGAAACTAAAATACAAAATGTTGAGCAGAAGAAACAATGATATTTACACAGCAAACATACTGGGAAAGACGTAGACAAAATTTTACTGAACACAAGTACACAAGGGCTGTGTGCCCATGGACAAGGCCAGTAGGCACTGCTGCCATGCCTTGGTTCAGTTTCTGGACACAGAAAACAGCGAGAATCACAAAGAGCATATAGCAAATTTGAAGGGATATTACTGTATTTCCATACATAAGAGTTAACAAAATAGTACATTATGGGGGTCATTTGCATGGCTCTATCTGTTTTGATTAGGAGGCTGCAGTTTATAAGATAAAAGCAACAGAAGACTGAGATGGAAAACTTGGGTAAATGAAGTCACTGTGAGGAGAAAGGGAAGAGGATGATGAAGAAGAGAGGTATTGTGGCAATGCTTTCCAGTGAGGAATGTTAGTCAGCTAATGGCTGTGCAATGTAAAATTAAACCCAGCAAATCTTCAGAGGGCAGCGCGGCAGCAGCAACCCAATCACAGCTTTCAGAATTCATGGAAGCCACTGCACTTTTCATCAGCTGCATTATAACAGATTTACATTAAATTGCAATAAACTGGCTGGGGAGCACTTCTGTGTCACTTCTCTTTGTACCAGATGGAGTCAGAAATGTTTAGCTATATATCAGAGCCTTATAAGTGCTAAGAGCAGCCAAGACGTGCAGTGCAAGTGATAATCATAAAAAAATGAGAAGGAGCGTGGATTAGTCATATCATTTATTGCCAATCAGAATTAAAATATTGCAAATATTTAAAGGGGAATCTAGGGTCTCATTCTACTACATGAGCATGCTTCAATCAAAATGTCCACAGCAGGAAGCAGCAATACTGCCCTGTATGATGCCACTACCTGATTTCCAGATATTCTGTCTTCCTGGTTTGTTGAATACCATTTTTTACTTCATTTTGTGCAGATATGTTCTGAACTTGAAAACATTGCAATCAGTTTTCTGTGCTTCTCACAAGGAACTGTTCTAAAGAGTCCCTGCCCCGAGAAGAATTCAGACTGGCTAGCTAGATTTCTTGGCCTTCATTAGGATGCCATCTGATTTTTATATTCTGTCTCTTTAAATACGCTGTACCACAGGAGGAGAGAAAAGTGTGGCCTTCTTTTGTTTTCTCTGATAAGAAAATATTGTTTGGAAAAGAAAACAAGCAAATATTTTTCTGTGTGTGTTGCTTAGCCAGAAAGAACCTGCACTAACTAGAACAGTGCAATGAGAGAAAGGAATTTTTACAACAGAAAGGAATCAAGGCATCTGTTGTAATTGTCTTGGAAAAAAACCCTAACTATATGCAAATACAATGTCTACTTACCAACTTGTACAAATGAAGCTTGTGTTAAGTATTCAGTTCCCCTGTAATTTTTGTTAAAGGCATGAGATCCAACAATGTGCATTCTCTGAGGGAAAAACTATTGCAAATTGGAATTTCAATGGCTCTATAAACTTCACTGTAAAAATATTGAAAAAAGCGAAAGCACCTTCTTATCATAATTTTAGCCTTCTTAAGCACCAAGTAAGGCAGTCTGCTCAGTGGCCAAGAGTATTCTAAAGGGCATCTTTAAAAGTAATTTGTTCCCCTTAAGTTCCTCCCTCCTTTATTTGCTCAAGAAAAAAAAAAAAAAAATACAGATGCTATTTATCAGTAAATGCTTCTTGTAAAATCTCCCTTTCTGTAGATAAATGGATTTTGTTATCTTTCCTCCGATAAAACTTAAAATTTAGCATTGGAGACTCCAGGAATCTACATGACATTAGGATATGACAGAGAAGTATGAAACTATATACAGAGATGAATACCAGACTAATTTATCTCAAAATTTATCTGCACCAACATTTTAAATACTTACACATCCTACCATTTGGGAGAGCTAAACCAACATTAATTAGCAAGTCTGCACAGAAACAAATCTTATTCCTTTAATTTTCAGTTCTCATGAATACAAATAATCTCTTAACAAAAGAGATGTTTCTCTAACATGGAAACATCCCATGTATAAATCTCAATCAATCTTTATATTTTTCTAGCTGATTTAATGTAGGCATTTTGACATTGCCAACATTTAATTTTAAAAAGTGTATCCAGTTATAGACATTTTTTATACATATTCAGTGAGGAGTAAACAATAAGATGTATTTTAAACAGTTTCTTAGCTGGACGACTTGCACAGTATATTAGCTTTTGTAACATTTTATTTCATTCACTATAGTACGTGATTGGTCTAGACGACAGTTGCAAGAAGAAAATTACCATACTTATAAATACAGGATCCTATAGCAGAAGAGTGATGGAATTTACTATTTGTTAATGATATTAAGTCTAAGTAGCTGCTCATTCACAGTTAAAAAAAAAATAATAAAAAAAATAAAAGTGGACACACTTCAGATCAGAGTACATGCACTGCAATACCTGGGACCCAGCTGGGCAGAAAGCATACACTACAATTAAACAGTTTCTTCTCAACTCTTTTTACTCAATCCCCACAATGATATAATCCCAGTTTTGGTTATAGTTATTTCTCAGACACCAGGCTCATTCTGTCTAGTGTGTGTATCAAAATCAGTAAGCAGTAAGCATGATTCACACTTCTAAGGCTTCCATTTATATTTACGTTGTTAAAATAAGAATTGAAATAAAAACAGGAGTGTCACACTAACTATTTTGGTTAGGATTTCATTAAAAACTTCATGGAAATAAAACAATAACAACAGTACTTTTACGGGGGCGTGCCTATCCATGCATTTGGCAACAAGGTCCCTAACACTATTTATAACCTTCACATCATCTGGTTTTGGCTATTTACCAGTGCCAGGGTGATTCATTAGCTTCAGTTTAGCAAGAACTTGACAGTCTGAACAAGTTTTAGTCATTTTTCTTTCACAATTTGTTAAGAAGTGTGAGGTGACAAGACCATTTTTTATAGTTCAATAATACCTGATAGAATAAGACACTAACATTTTTTGTGTTGTATACAGCTGTCTAGCAGGGAGGAAGAAAGGAAAAATTTTCAGTACAAGAAGACAATTTCATAAGTTGTACACTTTACTGAGCTTTGTACTAAATACCTTTATTTTACTTTCTAGCCAAAGAGCAACACCCTGCCACTTAGAATGTATTATATGGCAGAGACTATCAAACCACTTTAAAAGCAGTAATAAATTCCCATCCCAGTGAGATTAACAGTAAAAACCCATTTCACAGATGCATAAACTGAGTCTGAAAGCAACTTGACTAAGATCACAAAGAAATCAACAGAAGATACTTGTAAACTTTTATTCTAGAATGATGTAGTTTCTCAGGCTTATTGTTTCTATTATAACTAACTGCCTGAATTTGTTAAGTGCCAAAGTGAATATGATCCTATAGAAGACTCTAGTAAAGAACTCTTGGAACCAGTGAAGTTCCATGCTCCCAACAGTAACTGAAAATACACCTTTTTTCAGAAATTGATTTTTTACAGTATTCATTTTTTCCTGTTATTTTCATGGATACATGATAACACTGCACTTGGAAGGACAAATCAAAGGTAAAGACTTACATGAGGGCTTTGAGTCTCTTCAATAACACAATATGCAGTAATATTGTATTAGTTTCACAATACCTGCCTTTATGAGGATACTGAATAACTCAATCACTTTTTTTAA